CTAGCTGATGGCAATATCCTGAGAGGTACCCAGCACGGGTTTGTTGCAGGTAGGTCTTGCTTGACCAATCTCATTTTCTTTTACGACCAGGTGACCTATCACCTATGACATCAGATTGATGTCATATATCTTGACTTCAAAAAAGCCTTCGATCTGGTATCCCATGATCACCTCTTGGCAAAACTGGCTAACTGTGGCCTTGACCTCACCACGATCCACTGGATGGGGAATTGGCTCCATGGTAGGACCCAGAAGGTGGCAGTTGTTGAAAATCAATCATCATGGTGCCCTGTGACCAGTGGGGTCCCTCAAGGCTCTGTCCTAGGGCCTATACTTTTTAACGTCTTCATCAATGTTGTAGACATTGGTGTCAGAAACGGATTGGCCAAGTTCGCCGACAACACCAAATTCTGGGGTAAAGCATCCACACCTGAGGGCAGGAGGGTGATCCTGGCAGATCTTGATAGGCTCATGAAATGGGTGGATGAGAACCTGATGGTGTTCAACACCGAAAAATGCAAGGTTCTCCACCTTGGGAGGAAAAATCTGCAGCATGCTTATAGGCTCGGCAGTGCTATGCTGTTTAGCACTACAGATGAAAGGGACTTGGGGGTCATGATTGACTACAAGATGAACATGAGCCTTCATTGTGATGCTGCGGCTAGTAAAGTGAGCAAAATACTTGCTTGCATCCACAGATGCTTCTCAAGCAATCCCAGGACGTCATTCTCCCATTGTACTCAGCCTTGGTGAGGCCACAGCTGGAGTACTGCATCCAGTTTTGGGCTCCACAATTCAAAAAGGATGTGGAGGGACCCCACTGGTCACAGGGACCCCACTGGCCTTGACGGACCCCACTGGTCACAGGGCACCATTATGATTGATTTCCATCAACCACCACCCTCTGGGTCCTACCACGGAGCCAATTCCCCATCCAGTGGATCGTTGTGAGGTCAAGGCCGCAGTTAGCCAGTTTTGCCAAGAGATGATTGTGGGATACCAGACTGAAGGCTTTTCTGAAGTCAAGATATATGACATCAATTTCTTCTCCCTTGTCCAGGTGATAGGTCACCTGGTCATAAAAGGAAATGAGATTGGTCAAGCTTGAGAGTCCAGAGGAGAGCCACGTGCATGATCAGTGGTCAGGAAAACAGACCTTATAATGAGAGGCTGAGAGCCATGGAACTCTTCAGCCTGGAAAATTGCAGGCTCAGGGGTGATCTGGTGGTTACCGATAAGTTTATCAGGGGTGTTCACCAGGATCTGGGGGAACACCTATTCTCCAGAGTGCCCCAAGGGATGACAAGATCAAACAGTCATAAACTGCTCCACGACCAATTCAGGCTGGACATAAGGAAGAAGTTCTTTACTGTCCCAGCCCCCAAGGTTTGGAATAGACTGCCACCAGAGGTGGTTCAAGCACCCACTTTGAATGCCTTCAAGACACGCTTGGATGTTTATCTTGCTGGGATCCTATGATCCCTGCTGACTTCCTGTCCCATGGGGCAGGGGGCTGGACTTGATGATCCTCTGGGGTCCCTTCCAGCCCAAATGTCTATGAAATCTATGAAGTCTATGAAATCCTTCAATATTTTCAGAAGAGCTGTGTTTCAGAAACAACTCTTTGAGCTGCATTCTGATTTCAAAGTAATGTTATACCAAAGCAGCTGCTCCTGATTCACACTGGAATAAGGGAGATCAAAATACAAGCAAGCCCCACTTAGCACTCTTAATTGGTTCCTGAAAAACTCAGCGTTAAGCAAAATGAGCGTTAAGTGAAATCAAAAGTATGTGACGACCCAAGATGGTGACCACAATTGTTTTTAATGACCCAAGATGGCAACTGTGAGCGTTATAATGAAACTTGCTGAGTGCTAAGTGAAATCAGGCATCACTTTAAAATGAGCGTTATAGCGAAATAGTACTAAGCGAAATAGCGTTAAGTGGGGGTTGCCTGTATACAAATATGTACTGTGTTGTTTCCAAATGAAGCAACTTAGAGAAGAATCTGATTTCTAGCCTTTACTGATTAGAAAACAAGACCCGTTTTCAAAAGAAGAGTGGAAGTTAAACAGCTTGTTGTTATTAAAAACAACCACACTTTTATTTTTGTGAGTGTCTCTTCAGTATTTCTATACGAAATCACAAAGCAAAAACTTTTAAGCAGTTGCAAACATGCTTTTGAGGTCTGCCTTTACACTTTCAATTAACACATTTTAAATGTTATGGTGAAATCTTACGAAGTAAAAGGGAGGTGGGGATGGTACGAGCATGCAGCTATGTACATAATTAATTTGCAGTGAATATTATTTTTAACCTATGGAGAAACAATCCAATTAGAATTATGGTTGAAAAAAGGATGTTAAACAGCCATATACCAGGTTTTGACGAACAAAATCAAAGTTCTACAGTGTGCTTTTCCCTTAATGTAGACTACTTAGTTTGGATTTCAAATACACTTCAGAAGGTTCTACAATTACTGTAACAGCTTGTCCATAGTAAATAAAAAATTACCTTGAATAGATCATTTAAAATCCAATTTATCTGGTTAAGCAAGTACTAATAATGGCAAAGTTCATTTAAAAATATTTTACCTAAAAAAATAAATAAAATAAAACACTTCAGATATGCATACTAGTGGCAGAAATATTTCCTGGTTTTGTACAAGCAAGGAAATGTGTTAACTCTGAATGAAAACTAGGGATCTGGGTTTTCCATTTGCCATGGAAAAACATGGATTTTCTCCTTTAAAAGGGAAAAATTCAGGAAACCATGGGTTTCCTCAAATAGACTGGCAGAGTTCCAGCCTGCAAGGAGCTGCCTGGGGCTGGGGAGAGCAGGAGGAGGCCAATCATAGGCAGGAGGGGCACCAAAGTTCATGTTCATGCACACACATGCATGTGGCAGCCAGGAAGTGGGGTAGACAGTAGTTCCCACAGCTCCCCACAGGTAAGTCTATGGCGGGGTCTGGAGATAGGTGAGGCATGGGGGTCATAGGCAACATGTGAGGGTGGGGGTCTGCAGGCAATGTGTCAGGGGGCTATGTAGGGGGCACTTGCTCCCTCAGATTTGTGTACCCATACCGTGCACTGGGGTGCCACCTGGCCAGACTGGCACAGGCAAGAGCTACCTCTCCAGCCCAGTGGGCAGGACCGCATGGAAGGGTGGAGCAGGGCAGCAAGACTCATTGCCATTGCCACCATCAGAACCCCTGTGCCAGCTGCAGAAGGAGTAATGGACTGGGGGGCACGGCCGCACAGCCCTCAACTCCTCCCACTGCCAGCTGCTTGCATGCCAGGCCATGGCTCTACTCTGGAAGGAAGGTGGAGTAGGGGAATAGTATAGGCCGCCTAAGGAGAGTGGCAGTGGCAGCTGGCCATGGTGGTAGGGGTAAAGCCACAGTCTGGTATGCAAGCAGATGGCAATAGGAGAAGGTGAAGGCAGCATGACCCCTCCAGTCCATTACTTCTTGCACTGCTGGCAGCATGGCTGGTGTGGGGCTCCTGCTGGCGGCAAAGATTCACACACTCCACCCTCCCATGCTGGGTCCCATCCACTTGGCCCCAGAGGTGGCTCCTGCCAATGCTGGGCCAGCCAGGCTGCAGCCCCATGCCCCACTGTGGGCACACAGATCTGGAGGGGCATGTCCCCCCCATACCACACCAACATGTCACCTATGGTTGGGCACCACCCCTGCCTCACACACCCCCTTATTGCCCCACACATACTCTTTCTGCCTACACACTGGGGAGCTGGAGCTTGGATACAGGGGGATGTAGGTTGGGAGTGAGGGGCACTGGCTGGTGAGGACAGGGGGGCTGCAGGTCAGGAGTGAGGGGCACCAGTAGGGCTGTGGCTTGAGATTTACTGGTACCCCTCAATCAGGCTGCACAGTGCCACAGAATAGTGTAGGGCACAGCTGCAGCTGGACCCACATCCTAGTGAGCGAAGGGAGAACGGGGAGCTCCGATTTTCCATGATAAAAAAGCCAAAAATCAAACACCGAAATATATAAGTATTTAGAATTGATTTTATTATTATGATTATTATTATTATGGCACTGGTAGGCTTCTGAATTGCTTAGAAAGGTAAATATATCAATAAAACATTGTGTGCAACTGATACCTACATACATATAGTAGTGGTTCTTTTTAATTGAGGAAAAAAATGGATTTGGGGGGTTTTAATTAGAGAATTTTGGATTTTTAAACAGAGAAAACCAGGACCCCTGTTCACATAATAGAACTGCAGCCAAAGTAAGGGCTAGTAGAAATGAGTGGCAAAAAGATTATATGTTTAAACTATGGACATACAAAGAGTTCTAAAGAAAGTAGTGAAGAGAATTTTGAAGTAAAAAGCTCATGAAAAATTTGAAAAAAAGTTATACCCACTTGGACTATATTTCAAAAGTCATTTTTCAAATAGGCAAAATAATAAAAAAAAAGTTTCAAATATTTTTGAGCTGTAAAAGAATCAACATCCTAAATTAAAGCAATTGTTCTGTATCTCCACACATGTCTTACAGCTGCAGAATGTATTCAATTTTTATTCATAACAGTTATCTAAATTATTGAAAGAATTAGAGAAATGAAGAGACACACAATTATAAGGGGCTCCAACACAAGGAAGAAGCAACATTACTGTACCCGCCTCCGCTCTAGTAGGTGTTCCCGCGCTGCCTTCGCCCGAGCCCTAGATCTCGCGGGCCCCGGGCTTACAGGTAGGCCCCGGAGGCTACCTCTGCTGAAGTCA